AATTAGACCATCGATATGTCTTTTCACGATTCTTGGCAGAACTCAGTAAAGCTCTAGGAATTACTTTCATATCTCCATGTCCTTCAGACATATACAGTAATGGACAAAAGTATATAGACAAATATGAATATTTACCTAAACACCTTTAGAAAACGAAGTCATACTTCATTGCTCCATAAACAAATGCGTTATTAGTAGAAAAAACTAAATTCCTTGTTTTTACATTATCTGCAATGAACACAATACAAGTCTGAATATAAGCACTTTTTTATGAGGGACAAAAATATGTAGACAAATTCTTTTCAACATTAGTTTAGTACAGTTTCGTGTCAGAAGAGGATTAGTTTTTGTTCATCGAGTATTGTGGAATAAGTTGAGTGATTTTAAGACCATGCCGTGTAGTCCAGAAATTTCTTTCGATGTGAAAAACTATGACCATTGAGTTATACAAAGATGGTCAACAATTTGAAGCAGCTGAAGCGTAAAGCTTGTTTGGGCAATATTTTACAAATATAAACAAAAAGGTATCTTGGAAGCCTCTAAGAGAAGTGGTCGGCCTAGAAAACTAAATGATAGATCAGTTAGATTAGTAAAAGTAATTTCGTCCAAAGATCCGTTTAAAACCCCAAGATAAATAAAAGCCGAAATCGAGACAAAAGGAATTGTCAGTGTTTGTACGAAAACTACAAGTAGAAGATTAAATGATTTGAAGTGACAAAATATTAACACGAACATGGGTGGTTTTCTATAATTCAACCCAACTAGCAAAGTAGTGCTATAAGCTTTTGGTAAAAGAACCGTTCAGCCATGAAAGCTCTCTATTGTTGTTGCCTGAACACCAAAACGCTGGCTTAATGTTGTGTGGAATGCAAATGTGCTTTCTGCAACATATTTGCTCTAAAATGTGGTGTTTAAAATATTCTTATAGCATAGTTATACAACACCTTATAGGACAAATTTTTAACTGTTGCATAAACGTTTATACATCTATTTTATACGGAATATTTGCACGTCAGTCGCAATGGTTGTGTTGTGGCATCCATGGTAACCTTTATAAAACAAACCCGAGCCTTGTTGAATTGCTGTGTAAATTTACTACTTTAGCCAACAAATTGCTCCCAACGGAAGCACTTATACAACTGTTGTTTATTAACTGTTAAAGGCTGTACATATGCAACAATATTATAACTTTTGTAGTACACAGTTGCTGTGCTCGGCACACTTCACCATAACCTAACTTTCTGCTGTCACATTTTTGGTTAAAATGCCATAATCAATGCATATTGGTTCAAAAGGTTTTATCAACTGTTCAAGCAGAAGATATAGCCCTAGTACAAATTCTGGGTAAATCATTCGACTCTGTCGGTATTTTATTTCAGACATTTGTCAAATTGTTGTATAAGACCTGCAGGCAACACCAAAATATTCTAATAAACTAAACACAACATGGACGATGCCATGATTATACACAACCACCCGCCATATTGGGCAATCATATATTCCTCTATTTAATATTAAATAATTATGTTTCAGTTCGAAATTACAGATATAAAGTGATAAACATTAGTGTAATTGTGTCTAATTCTAGGATTTGTGGCAGATTTAACGTAGATAAGTTCAGTTTTCCATCTTAAAAATCTAGACATACTTTTGATCATTATTGAAACATGAATCAAATACGAAGCCCGTAGAAGTTGCGTAGCTACTTTGCACGATAATCACAATAAAATTTGCTGCGCAAGTAATTCAACAGCCCTATATCACAGTGTAGAAGTTTATTATATACCTGTGTATGAAATTCACAATGATCGATATGTAAGTAAACAAGATGACTGTAATCTGTTAGTTATATATTCTTCACTTCGTCTATGCAATACATAAGAAATAGTTTGGTTGCAATAAAGTAGAATCACGTAACATACTAGTTGTATAGTTGACAAAAACTGAATATTGCACTGACGCAAATGTCCTATAGCGGCTGCAAGAGTCTTACACTTTTGTTGTATACCTGTTACCTGCACCCTTATACAACCTCTTAAATGACTGAAGTGTCCTATTAGGTGTGCCCATTCTGCATGTATAGCTGTTCTAAGAGGGTTTTACCAATGTTCTTACAGTAAACAATGCTGTGTAAGGAATACTGCATAATCATTCTTGCAACTCTAATAGGAGTGATAATTGTTAGTTAAGAATGAACTTTGCTTCTTTTTTCTATAATTGTTTTAATTTGTCTATATATTTTTGTCCTTCATAGTTCCAGTTTTTTTCAAATAATTTTTTATTGAAGGGAGTCTAATGAATTTATTCATGTATAATTGAGAATTATGCTATAACAAATTATGTATACAGGTTGGTGTATTCATAAAACAAGTTAAAAAAGGAATACAGCACAATATTAATTTGTCTATATATTTTTGTCCATTACTGTATATAGAATTGGCCTTTATCCGCGGACGTTTGTTTGTGAATGCTTTCAGACATACGTTTTCGTTTTGTCTCACCCCCTTGAAAGCTTTGTCATCATCGTATGGGCTTCTCACATTTATGTTTGTCATTGTCAGAGAGACAACTTGCTTGGAATGGTCGTGCGCGTGTACTTTTTATCGATATTTGATGTAAAACGTAGGAATTCTTGAAGATACGACTACAATCTCACAGTCTGTGTTTCTGTTGGAGTCTTGGCAACAACGGTCTTCTATCACTCAATTCATTTGTGTGTAAGAGCGAATTGCAGCTGCGTTAAGGATCGGCTTGTGCAGTGTGCGATTGCCTTTGAAAAAGTTTGCACATATGGCACAAAAGTATAGTAGTAGTGGTGGAGAGGCGAACCAATAATGTACTACGCCACGGGCCATGTACTGGTAACTGATATAATAAAACAGTTCCAGCGTTAAGATGTACCTGTTAAAATTGCACCACGAGCGCGATATAGACAACATAACATCCATAGCAGGGAATTAACTTCCGAGGCGAAGATTAGAATCCTCGAACCCCGGGCTGCTAACATCGAGCTACCGAGGCCCTTTCGTTAATCTGCAAAGTATTTCGTATGGCATTGTGACATAATCGGCCTAAACCGTGAACATAACTACACATATTTATTTGATCTTTCTTTTCCTTCTGCAAGAATGCTCTGTTTGGTTTCCGTTGTCTATCTCCAAGACCTTCATATTATGGTTGCTAAAAGTATGAAACAATGGCGTATACTGTTGGTCACAGGAACTGAAAGCAATCACATTCAATTCAGTAAATGAAAAATCTTTTATCTAAAAAATGCACCAATAAATAAATAAATGGGTAGTATCACAGCATTTCACGTTGATTTGATTTATCATTGGCCGTAATCGCCATTATCCACTTGCAGTCTAATTTAATTCACTTTATTTCCCACCGATTCCCTATACAAGTTAATTAAACAATCAAACGTCCGCTGGTGGCAGCAATTTTCCCATTTTGTTCCTGGCTTTATCTCATAATCCCTGACAGAGAATGGGGAAGATTGACTAGCATTAATCTGCGATGATAACATGGGCGCGACAGAGAAAACCTATCGTGGACGCAATACTCAGTTGGCCGTTACAACCTTCTGGATGAACCTTTGGCATGCCTGTAACATTTATGTGACACTGACGAGCTCTAGTCAGTCCGAAAGAAAATCGCCTGTTGCGGTTTATGATATGGTGGGTAGGAGATATTTTCAAGATTTATTGGAATGTATGTGCGAAGAAAACATGAATGTAGTACAGAAAACGTACCGTGGACAAAATTCATCATAGTTTAGATTGTCTGGATAAACTGAACCATCGGCTATACTGAAGGACAGTGGTACTTACTATTCTTGCTCCTCAGATAAGTGTGCCGTAAACTGAAAGTTAACAAAACTACGACTGTGTCATCTATCTACCGATATACCCGTGGGAGATACGGCTTAGGCTAATTCAGGAAAAAGCTGCGTTGTTTGTGGCATATTTACATGCCGTTGAGAAACTTGTAAAACTTTCATAGTTGACTGAGGTATTTGAGAAAAACTAAAGTTTGGCCAAATCGTTTTTATTTTTGTCTGACTATATTTTAAGGAATATCAGAAAACTAATGGAAGTTCTTTATTTGCACTTTTTAGGCACTACTGTAGTTTATTTATTGTATATGGGCCGAAAAAAAGTACACCCTGTATCTGATAGCATCTTTTTCTAGGAATCCAACGATGTTACATTTGTTTACTTTAGCGTTTCTCAACCTGTGTGGCTGTAAATCCTGTTTCGCAAAGGTAGGATGTTGAAAATGGTAGTAGTATACGAAACTCTCCTGTTTTCAGTACCAGAAACTTCGCTCAAGCCTGCCCAAAATTCAAAAAGGGATTTTTTGATTTCGGCGTTCGTCGTCAAGTCTATGAAGATTCCTTCTTCGGAAGTTGAGAGCCCTTCGGGAGTAATTTGAAACGGATTCCTAACCCACTCGTAACTAAGTATTAATTTGTCATCGGCAAAAAAATATTTTTTAAAATTCCTTGTCAGCATCGCTAAATGATTTTCAATGGTTATGAAAACAACTTTAAAGTGTTGTTGTTCAACCTTGTAAGTTTTAATACATACATCTACATTTGCAAACATTTCCAGGTTTTTTACTTTAAATTTCTGCTTCACAATTCCAATTTTCTCCAAAAAGCGTTAACTTTATCATATCCAATATATGTATATGTGTATTTTCTCCGTGGAGCTGAAGGTTCAAGATGTTTAGTTTCTCGAATATGTAGACCAAGTGGCTCAATTTCATCAGAAATAAACCATCTCGAAACATCTCGGCTTCCGGTCGGTTTCCTTCTTCTAGAAAAACGACGATTTCATGTCTTCATTCAAAAACACGTTAGAAATATTTCCCACGTGATAACCATCTTGCCTCGCATTATAATAGTAATGCTGAATGTACTGCACCTATATCTTTACAAAGTGCAGAAAAGATTCTAGTTTTCAAAGGTATCATTTTTATGTAATTAACTACTGTTACAACCGCACAATATTCAAGCCAGGAGACATTTCTTTGGAAGCCAGAGCTTCTGTGTGAATTTTGCAATGTGTCCAGATGTACAGTGCAGATTTTTGTTTCACAAGGGCTTGTATACTTTCAAATCGTCCGGACATTGAACGAGAGCCATCGGTGTATATTCCGTTGCAATTTCTCCACTCTGTATTTGCCTCGATTATATAATCATCTAAGATAGCAAATAATGAGAGAGATGTTGCTTTGAGTTCTATATGTTTGCAGAAAAGTAGCTCTTCTACTACTGATATGCCATCACAAAAACGAACGTAGGCAATAAGACGAGCACCTTTATTGCTGTCCTTCGCCTCACCAGGCTGAATTGAAAACAGCTTGTCTCGCAACTTCCCTAGTAGCTGATGCTGTACATCTTCAGCTATATCACCAATTCGACGGGCAACCGTATCATTTGATAGAGGTATGGACTCCAATCTTTTGCTAAAATTGTCTCCAAACATAGTTTCTACAATTTTAGTTGCAGCTGGCAAATTAAGCTCTTCACCAATAGTATGAGGCTTCTTACAGCTGGCTATACCATATGAAACTTTATAAGAGGCAAGTAAAGCTTTTCCAAACACAGTCATTTTTTTAATGATTTTTGCTTTTAGTATGATTTTAATTTTAACTCGAATAATACTCGGGGTTTGTTAACGTACCCACTATGAAGCGTTTCCAAATGTCGTTTAAGTTTATCAGGTTGCTAAAGTTTTTGAGCAAATGGTTTACAGAGGCATCTATTGTTCATTGCCTTCAGTTCGTGTAAACCCAGAATTTGAGTATTCTTGAGAATATGTTCTTGATTTTAAATTTAGAACCTCTCACGCCTGTGCACTTGTTGATGATTAACTAGTATCGAATGCTGGCTTACGCCCACTTAAAAATGTATCCGTGATTTGGTATAAATTTAAATTTACTGCTGCGGATATATATATATATATATATATATATATATATATATATATATAGGTGAAAAATAAAGCTTCCGACTTTTATTGGCCACTTCGACAAAACTCAAGCAATGAGGACTCTTTATACTTTATTAGTCTCTAGTATAAAGAGTCCTCATTATCGTGAACTTTGTCGAAGTACCCAACAAAAGGCGGAAGCTTTATTTTTCACCTAACTGGTCTAAACGACAACGACCACGTCTCAAGTATATATACATATATTTCAATACCGTGAATTGCAATAGATGTAGCACAGACAGAACGACTGACTCGACTGAGATAGACCAGAATTGACGAAATGCGGCGTGCATACAGGTTCGCGCAGACGGTTGAGAATGTTCGGAATAACTCGGAACTTCTCTCGAAGAGAGGCATTACTGCCAGATTTGTCAATGCAGCAGATCGGCGTTGTCAAATATATATGAATGTACTTATTCTCGGTAAGTCGTAGGATTTGTAATTAAGGTTGTACTGTAAGTTTAGCGTCAAAATACTGAAGGTACTGTTGTAAATATTACTGTATACAGACATTTATTGTGTGCGGAAGGGGGGGGTGAGGTTTACTTAGTTATGAAGAAAAATGTATTTTGTTTTTTACTTTTTTATTTTACTCAAGTGGGCGCTGTAACCAAATGCTTGATGTAAGATTATATGATTATTGATAGATATAGACTAAATATGTAATACTAATAGGTTATACATAATGATATGATGGGGTAAAATTTTATAAAATGATGTTCAATCTAGGGATATTCTGAATAACGAATACATTTTTAACATTATTTCTATTTTATTAATAGTATGTATTCAATATGTTGCTATTATTTCCTAAACATAAATATGACCTTCTAAAAGTATAATTCAAAACATCGCGTAACATTTCTGGTGTAATCATACTTAATGCTTCCATTACACATTCTCGTAACTGCAGCTCAGTTTCAAAAGTATGCTGATAAATTTAGTTTTTAACAAAATATCAAACAAAAAAGTCCAGACGAGTTAAATCTCGGGGGCGCGCTCCATTGTAGGTTCCAATCCACCTTTCGTGAGATCGCTAAGAATGATACTCTCGAACTTGCTTAGAATTATGTGCAGGAGCACCGTCTTGTTGGAACTAACAGCTATTAACATGCACCAAGTTAAATTATCCAGGCAGTCTTCTAGACCATGTTACAAAAATTGAAGGTACCTTTCTGCAGTTAATGAGTTGTGATAAATAAATGCGATTTAAGTTCCTAGAATTCCACACCACACATTAAACCCAAAACGTGCTTGACGTCTGGATCCTTTTTTAGCCCGCATATTTTTTTGACCTCAGTAATGAGTGTTGCGGTGGTTAAATATACCATTATTAGTGACCATACTCTCGTCGGGCCATATTATTTTTGACGGGACATTAAAATCTTCTTCACACGTTCGGGTGTACCACTCACAAAAATGCTGTCGCCGTTCCCTATAAAAAATATTAAAATGTTCTGGCCAAATGTTACTTTTTGGCAAATATCTCAATAAATCACGTAATGTTTATAAGCTTCTCAACGGCGCCTCAGAGAACGCGACGTTTCGACAGAACATCATCATTTTGCGTATTCCGAAAGCGATATTTGTAATGGTACTTTGAGCATTGTATCGGTGTTGTGAGTTGATATGATATTTCACCAAACAGAACCATTCACCATACTTATTGACACAGCTCTTTTATAGAAGCGAACAAGGACATCACTGGTGATGAAACGACTTCTTGTCTGTAGCATTTCATTGTCATTGTTTTTGCGTGTGCCCTTTTTCGTTTCGGACACCCATGACTGCGTTTTTCCTGAATGCCGTCCATCCAACCGCAGCACAAGCGAGAGACGTCCCGGTGATTTTATTTCCATTGTTTTTCGCCTGATCCCAGCGCCACGATATCCCAATTACCGGTGGGCCTTGATTGAGTTACGTTGTCTGCCAAAGCCTACTATAGTCGCAGTTCCGTTACAGGCATATACCGCAATTTAATATCGACGGAAGTAAACGGAGGGGCAACTGTCATTTGTTTTCATTTGTTATAGATTAAAAAAAATATCCTACCGTAAAAGTGAGCTGAATACGGCCTTCCATAGAGTTTTGATGCTAACACGAGATTTAGTTGAGTGCTTCGTAAAACGTATACGCTCAAATAATGCACAATATAAAAAAACTCCATACATTCAAATGGGTGTCATGTTATCGTTGCAACTATCTCAATGTTTGTGAACATTTGTTATCCTCTATAAATAACGCACTTTTTCGTAATGCTACCTTACCTAAGACGAAACTAATTATCAAGATGCAATGCACAGAAGGTGAACCAATAATCTAGAAATTAGTCTGTCTGTATCTATGTTTATAAAAAACACGCAACCCTTTGCCATTGTTCATTTATTTTGATACTGACAGTCTTATTTAACCCTTATGAATAGGTTTTCTGAGTATTAATGGCTGTATCGTCAGTCGGTCCTACAATTGTGGGACGCCTTTATGGCCTCCTTGGCTTTCGTAATATTATCTCTGCTTCAGAAAGGCCGGGGATTTTCTAGATTCCTACTGTTCCTTGTCAGCAGCGCTCTCCTATTACGAGGCTATGTCTTTTTGAATTACAGGAAATTTCAGGCTGATATAAAATATATGATATAAATCAAAAGCATGAACAATATGATGGAAATAGGTATTTGTAACATAGAGCACTAACACGGAACCTTATAAAACTATTGAAATCAAGGAGGCCATAAAGGCATTCTACAATTGTAGGAACGACTGACGATATGGCCCTTAAACTTACTTTTAAGCCCACAGGCCCCTAAAATCACTAGGGGGCAAAGCAGCTTTAGCACTGGCTGTCTCTGAATGCATTCATGTTCATTGATCACGAGAACTCATTTATTTGTTGCTAGGCAAAGGCTGCAATTATCCCAACCTAGTGGTATAATACGCATATTTTATTTATTTTTTGTCCACTTGAAAGCCTACTTGGATCCTCAGGTCGTAGGTGAAATTTTGTATTTATTTCTGCGGTAATCAGCATTAGCTCCCCACTGCATGAAATTTGCAAAAAAATATCTAAGATAAAACATCCGACTGCCTATTTGCTAGAGAGTATTCTTATTTATGCAACAGTGTTTGTGTTCAGGCAAAATCTTACGTTTGCTACCGGTTTTGGGTCTAGATACTCTCGACTAAAGAGGCACTTCACTATCATATGAGACAAAATGATATGTCTATCTAGGTGTAGAGAACAAACAGTTGAAGGAACCAAGAAGCACACTCGTAGAATGGAACGGAATCAAAGAAAAGAGGAAACACTTTTCAGCTGTCCTCCTTTACATAAAATGTAATGAGAGCCCACGGATTAGAGCGACACGAGGTGAAGCGACATGTCACGTTCGATGCATGTAAATGACATATGTCGGAGTCGGTCGGAATGTACGTTTAAACACTTATTTTGGGAACGTCCAGCTGTTCTGCTGAACCGGAACCCTATTTTATGGAGGAGCTAACTTTCTATAGCTTATCCAAGGGAATTTTAGCTGGCTTTTGTTATCACTTATTTCAGTCGAGTGGATCGTCTGATATTACAGACTTTCTGTGCCTCCGGAGAGGAAAAACAAGAGGCCAAGTGGGTCCTAAATTGCCTCATTACCCTTCCCTCATTATAGAATACACAAAACCTATTTTGTAGGTAGTATGTCTCAAACCTCATGTACAACAGGTACACCACTAATAAATTACTCTTTATTTCTTGATACGTAAGAGCAGCAGCGTTAAGATATTGACTAATGACTCCTACAGTGGAAAGCAAAAGATGTGAAATCTGTTTCCAGTGACATTAATTAATTATTTGTCGATGATATTGGATTAGTGTAAGCCTCTCCCTCTCTCGTTAGAAAGCAGTATTTAATGGATCTCCAACGAAAGAGGAAAAAGTTAATGCGTTTCTTGGTATCGGATGAGGGATTCCATCTGGAAAAGAAGTTCTGCATGTCTAGTCGCTCCAATTTTTAGGACAAGCTAGATCTTAATGAACAGTCGATGTCGTCTAGCAACGGTAATTTGAAAGAATTAGTCATTCTGGTCTAAAAGAAGTAGTATTGGATTACCGACTGTTCCTCACTTTGCTACTATTTTCCCTTTATAAACATGCAGAACATTTCCGGAGTATGTTTGTATCGTTTCATACACCCTGAAAAAGAAATATCTTAAAGCACAAGTCCCTCTCGAGTATTTGGAACAAGGTTCAATGATTATGAGTGAAAAATATTTGGTTTGAGAACACCCAATAAGCTTCGTGGTAAACCGAGTTAAAGATGTTCAAGGACGTTCCATTACATGGATATGTCCTTACTTCGTTTGTCAAGCATTAGTCTATTGAGCCTGGTAGGAAAGTAACCAGGCTAGTTTTTGGGATTTTGGGATATGATTAGATCGCGCATTATTGAAAATAGTCGAACAACTTGGTTGTTGTTATAATATGAGCCACAACCTTATGTGATTGTTGAGTTGCTGGACTATGTAGTCCACTAATTCATGTTACTGTGTCTATAGTTTGACATAACCCAAGAGCAATGTACTTTTAGTAACTAAACTAAGAGTAACATGTATGGTCTACTACACCCTTATTC